ATGCCGATGCCCTCCAGCTTGCGAAATCATGCAATCATACCCTGCTTAACATTTTCTGTTGGGATGCCTTCAGGATGAAGCCTACTCAAACAATCCTTAGACGACTATAATGACTTCAACCAAAAAATTTTTCTGTGCTGGATCAATTTGAATTTCAAACTTTATAATTCGTGTTTGATCTAACAAATATTGACAGTGAAATGCTTACCCCATTGATATGGCTCAGTTGACACCACATGACAAATATTTAACACTATAGAAACTACGCCTACGAATATACGAGCCCCTTCCCACTTCAGTTGGCCCAAGTATTGAAGTCTTAGTTTTTTTCTTATCAAACACAAATAATAAAAATGTAGCAGGGTGTTATAGGTTTAAAATATTAACAATGAATATTTTGATAATATATAGTAGAAAACACCAACTCTATCACCCCCTAATCAAATTTGCAGCATAAAAATAACACATGTTGCAATTACAGCATAACCTATTTTCTTTTCAATGCAAAATAAGTCTATAACGCATAGGTGGCTGTGAAAAATAAAAGCCAATTGTTTTTATTAATCACAGCTGTCAAAATACGTTTAAAATAGTTTTGGGTAGTTAAGGTTTTCAAAATGGGTAGAGGAAAGGTTATTAGTGGGAAAATTCGGTTACTGATTAATTTTTTTAATTCTGGGAAATCAAACTCAGAAATTGCAAATTTGTTGGACTTATCGCGATACAGTGTGAGAAATATTGTTAGAAGAAGATAACGTAACTGGTTCAGTTAATATTAAGCCACGATATGTAAAAAAAGTAATATCACAAATGCCGACCGAAGATCATTAAGAAGAATAATCGTGAAAAACAGGCGTGCCAATTATTTACAATTAAGTGCTCTGTGGAGTGACGCTGTTGGAAGGAGAATTTCGAGGTCCACAACTCATAGAGAGGCCCACAAACTGGGATTTAGCACTTGCAAGGTAAGTTTTCTTACAAAAAAAGTGAAGTAAAAACCCGAAAGTTGCACAACTTGTTTATAGGCCAAAGAAAAGCCACTATAAACTCTACTGCAAAAGAAAAATCGGCTTAGATGGGCTAAAGAACAGAGACAATGGACACCTCAACAATGGTGTGTAATACAATGGAGTAATGAGGCCCGATTCGGAGTTTGTGTTGGTGACAGTCGCAGTAGAGTCATTCGCAAAAAAATGAAGCATTCCATGTTGACTGTCTGAAGAGAAAAGTGAAATTTCCAGCATCCATTATGGTCTGGGACAGTATGTCATCAAAAGAAGTAGGAAAACTTCATTTTATTGATGGAAATGTGGATACAAAGAAATATTTGGTAATTTTAGAAGAATCGCTTTTACCAGTGATGGAAGAATGTTTGACATCCGGCCAAGATTTTATGTTTCAGCAAGATTGTGCAGCGTGTCATACCTCAAAAAAGGCTATAAAATGGATGGAAGAAAATAATGTACCACTTTTGAAATGGGTTTCTAGCAGTCCAGATCTGCCACCTACTGAACCTTTGTGGCAGGAGATGAAAAAGGTTCTACGACAACATCCTGCTCGTACAATCACCGAACTGATACAAGCTTCAAGAAATATGGGATTGTTTTACACCAAATTTTTGCCAAAACTTGGTTAACATGCCCCAAAGAATTTCAGCCGTAATTAAAGATAAAGGTGATGTTACCCAATGGTAGTCTTTCAAATGTTGCTTTGTTAACTTCGCGCATTTATTCCCACATTGATTATTTGTTCAGATGTTCTATTAGTTATAGGTCTAAGTGATTGCAAATATGTATTTTTTACGACTAGAGTGTATCTAAAATGTTTTTGAGAAAATAAATTGTTTTAGAAGTAAATAGTTCCGTCATGTTTAGTTTATAAAGGCATATTTTGGTACAAATCTTGAAGTGGGCCAACTGAAGTGGGAAGGGGCTCATATTCCACTAGTCGGCCTAAGATATTTCCTCTTTTATCCACCGCGAATATTCTCATGATATAAACAGGCATGATATTTTTTCATATTTGATTGTTCCATTTTATAACACAATCCTGAAGTACTTAATGGGGAATCGTAAATTCTGTTCCATGATCATGTTAATGAGCATCTTCATTCTACTAACTGGTACTCAAATGCTGTTTTTATTGAACCGTAAAACATTTATACATATATAATTCAAATCGGTAGAACAGTCTGAAAAGCAGGTTATTTTATTTGCCTGTTTCAATATCTTGTTTCCCTCGTAATTTGAACTGAATCATTGTTATGCTAGTCTTATCCAACTTGGCAGCTTAAATATATCATTGGAAACAAGTTGGAAACGTTACAATACATTCCAAAACTGCCGACTTTCCGCTTATAGGATCATGTGTGGCGCAATTAAATTTAATACTGAAGACCTTGAAGGTTTATTAAGAGAACCAGATCCCTGTTTGGCACTGCTGTACGATTGTATGTCATCGGCTTCTCGTACTACCATTACATGCCACTGCACTAACAAAATTCTGTTTGAAGTCTGAGAGACGCACAACTCTTTTAATTCATTGATGAGATGTTGATCTACAATTCCTCTGTGCTACATCTTCAACTATTGAGCTTTACCACCTTGAAAAGTGACTTGAATCTGGATCCGATACAAAGGCTACATTTGAAACTACATATGGAAATTGCCCCCAAATGTATCCAGATCTGATTTAATCAAAATTAACGCATATTGGGTCAAATCATCAGCCAAATTTTCAGATCGATAAGTCGACCCTAGGGCCCCAAGCCAAATAATTTTTACTTAGCGCAATTTCGCTAAGAAAAATTTAAAAAAGCCACCAATTACTGTAGAACCTGAAAGAATGGACAAAATACATATATTCGTTGGATTTTCAAAAGACTCAACTCATGATATCCCACGTTTTATTCATGATTTTGTTAATGGATCTGAAAAAAGTGCAGGAAAGCACTGATATACAGTGGATCTTTAAGCTTGCGATATTTTCATTACTTGATCAAACATTCGGAAAAAAATACAAACTTTTTTTTCATGGACCTATGCGTGCCCCAAATCTATACAAAATTACGATAATGTAGGATATAGCAATGTATCATTATTTATTATTGAATTTAGTTAAAGTGCCTCAGTGTCAGTTCAAAGTTTTGTCGTTTCTGCCAGTGATCCTATCACACCAAATTATGTCAGTGGGTGCGCTAGAAGCACATAGTGCATTAGCAAATACTTGACAGATTTTATTTATAACTGCGGATATGCAATTGACAGTAGTGGGATGGCCACACACATGATTTTTCTTTATGGCATTACTTTTATTTGTCATTGATACTTCGTTGTGACAACAATCTTTGAAATTTATATTTTTATAATTGTATTTAGCATCAAATTATTATTATTATCGCAAATTTTGACAATTTTTTATCATAATTGCGCCTGTAAAAAATTATTTCCGATAATACACGTTTTCGAGGTTAGGGGCCTTAGGGACGACGTATCGATCTGAAAATCTGGTTGACTTAACCCAATAAACCTTAACCTGGAGTGATCCAGGTTTGGATACATTTGGGAGCAATTTCCATATGTAGTTTCGACTATAGCCTTTCAAAGGTTGATTAATTATTTCCATAGTATTTTTAGGGTGCCTGTCTTGTGTCGTTCAAGTAGATGCCAATTTGGATAACTTTGGCACAGAGTCACACAGATCAAACACATTGTTTTTATTAGCAATTATACAGCTAATTAATGTATCACTGACGTATCAAGCCTTAAATGTTAAAATGCACACCTTGTGCATTCAATCAGCAGGTATTCAGAACGTAAAGACATGCAGTCGTCGTACTCCAATTCCGCATAGATTCTTTCCGCTTGCTATATTCAGAAATATACTATATTATACCAGGGTGTTTCACTTGTCGCGGATCAATAAAAACATCTCGTTCATTTGATTCTGGAACTGCGTAATCTTAGTACTCCACAAGTTCCATGTTCTAGGAAAATAGTTAGCCACCACTCTCTCCTTGAACAACATACCATAACCAGTAGGAAGACCTTGGAGTATCAAGAGCTAAACTTCATCAAAAAATTGAATAGTCACACCAGACCATACTGCCTTTCACTAATCAAGCTGTTTATATATATAACAACCAATTTATTACAGCTGACACCGCTTGCGATCTTTCCAATCATCTGCTTGTAGGCACAGCTTCCTAAAACAGCTTATTTCTTATCTCAGTCATATTCTTGGTCTACTTCTTTTTTGCAGTTGATGAGCATCCACTGTAACAGACGTCCTTCGCCACCGTTGATCATTCATTCTTTCGACATCGAAATGAAATTTCAATATTTTGCGTTATGTGCTTTCCAAGATGTCAATGTGTATAACATCACTCAAGAATGAAAATGTTCGGAGTGCAAGAAAAGCTAATTCCAAAGCTAGAGATTAACTGCTTGACGTGATTTTCAATCTACTTCACTTGATTTGAAATCAAGTCGATGTGAATCAAGTCAAGTACTTGAATATTCAAGTCGTAGTGCTGGATAATTTTTGTAATATAAATATGAGTAGAATCTAAATTGACAACGGAAATACTTTGTGTCAAGTTACAGAGAAAACTATACATATAGAACAAAATAATTTGTTTATCGTATAACAAATAAAAGAACGATAAAACTGAAAACTCAAATAGAAAAAAGCATTTCATCATCAGCTGATTCAAAAAGGATGAAAAAATTCGGAATTAGCTTTTTACTCGCTAACCACGAGTTATGACACATGAGGGTCCTAACGGATTTATCACTTAATCTGTTTCGAGGTTCCGTAATGATTGGTTAATGCACCCTTAGAAAATTTCCTTTCAATGGGCGCCGATGTTGCAGGAATCGATAAAAAATCTCTTGTCGTTAAAACTAGATTTGAAATACATTTTCATGTCATTGATTATTGAACAAAAAATATTATTTGCCATCAAGTATCAAGTAGTTTGAAAATGCAAGTAGAACAATAAAAAAATCAAGTTAAGTCAAGCATCAACGTTTCAAGTAATTTTATTTTCAAGTTAAGCAGTTTATAAAAATATCTAGCGACTTGACTGGATTAATCCTTATGCGAAACATTTTACCCATCTTTTCAAGATATATAACCTTCTTGAGTAATAAAATCTTACTAGGCACTGTAGTCTGAAAATCGTATTCACGGCGGCAAAAATAGAAAAATCAGAGAACTGCCAAATAAACTCTAACAGTGTAGTTTTGTGACTGTTGCGGATCGACGATTTTTAAGTGTTTTTAAACTATTTTGACCTTATTTTGTAAGCTATAGTTTAGCATAATAGTTCTTCGGGTATGTATAAAGAATTCCCATTGTTTCTATCATGAATAATATTTTCATACATAATAAACGGATGCATGTTCTTGTTTAATCTTTTCATCTTTGATTTTTCAATCAAGTTTCAAATGTTTAATAACGCAAATAGAAGATTAATGTTCCCAATTTCCTGTTTTTGATCAGAATGCCACGGAAGTGTGTCAATGCCACCGACAACTTTTGTTACGTCTGTGATGAAATGACTTTTGCAGGTCAGAAGCGAACACTCAGCCCAGTTGTGAAGGCAGCTTACTTCCATTACTTTGAGGTGAATATATGTCACCAGGATAAACCGTGAACTCCATATATTTGATCAGTGAGACTGCGAGAGGGACTGAGGGGAATAAACACGCAATGAAGTTTGCTGTACCCATGATCTGGCATGTAGCCATTGATATTTCTGCTTGGTGCCAACCTTGAAGAAAGGTTTGTCAACAAAAAAGAAGGCACCCTGCGTTGGACCGATCATTAGTCCTAATCCTCATTGGGTTGATCAACCGGCCAACTTCCAAGGCACCTCAAAATTGAGAAGGATGTTGCCGAAGGGGGACATGAATAAAAGGCAGTTCTTAGGCCTGGAACTTCGCGGGACAAATATTGAGTAATCGCCTGAGAGATCTTGACTTGTCGAAGGAGAATGCAGCCCTTACTGGATCAAGACCGAAGCAATGGCATCTACTCTAACGAGGAGTCGATAGCACAGGATACATGATAATGCGTTTGATGATATTATAGACGGGAGCGGAGAAGCATCCTGGGAAGGTTTTGAAGGCATGGTACGAGGATTTCTAGGTTACCCAAAACATGACAACTACCAACAGTTAGTGAAAGAACTCTCACAAAGGTATTATGAGCTTGGATGCAATAAATGTCTCTAAAAATTCAATTCCTCCACATTCATCTTGATTTTTTCTGTGAAAACTGTGGAGCTGTAAGCGATGATCATGGTGAAAGATTCCACCATCGTTGGGACCAGTCAATTCTCGCTGTCCACTGTTGGACTCTAACAATAGATGCTCCGGATTCGAGGTACATGCAGTCCAAAAGAAAACGTCAATACAAATAGACTATTGTATGATATTACTACTATATTGAAACTTGCTGTTGCCTTGGGATAGTTTTTTTAATTTCCTTTTATTTAAAATTACACGGGCTCTTCAATTTATTTTTAAATTGATGTATACTGAACTACTGTGAATCCTAAAAACAAGAGCTGACAAAATTTGGAAGACTAGATTACCTAAAATCAGAAAATAGATAGGAAAAAAATTGTTGGCCAGTGAATCAGGCAGTGATGTCGTTACAAGCTGGCCATTGATGCACTTATTTATGTCTTTGCTGGTCACAAAATAGAAAAGCTGTAGGTCTTTGATTGTTTGTCTCTGGACTCTTTTCTGGGAAGGCTAAATTTGAACGAACTTCCATATACAAAATACGAAAAGCCTGGCGTCCAACTATTCCTGTATTCTCCAAATGACCTTATTATTTGTCTGTGGAACTCTCTTGATATCGACGACATTGATGTTGGAAGGGATGTATGTAGTGGAGTTGGTCGCAAACATAGAGATAGAAATTCATTCCCATTTTCCAAATACAGTCCCACGGGAAAGAAGCAACAAACGGGTGCAGTATGGCACCAACCCAAATATCACTTCGAATACCTTGCACACTGGCTTCATTTGATTAACGTATTCTACCTAACGATAGCCAACCTAATGCTATATCTGCTAAAAGGTCCAAGATGAAATGAGCTACCGTAGCGTAATCTATAGGATTTTGTCACAGTTATGTTTCTTCTCTTCTCAATAATAAGAAGTCTACTTTGAAAAGATTACTGTATTTTAGATGGCGCTGTATGCTCATACATAGTTGGTTACAGTGCCATTCAAAGTAGATAACTATTTATTGCGAAGTTCAGAAAGATAGCTGTGACAAGTTTTCATATGTCTCTACGGTATCTCGTTTCATCTCGGACTCGAATTTTTAGTATTAGGGTAGGATATGTTAGTTAATTTTTCTGGTTTATTTGTTGGTACAGTTTGACAGCACAAAAGCAAATATCCGGTTATGCTGTATTATTTTGTATACCGAAGCATGTAAGATTAATCTGAAACTATTACGTTCCCAACTGGTTCGTTTAGCATGAAAGCGGAACTGGTAAACACCTCTTATTTTTTGCATGTTACATGCAAGTCTAATTCTTTCTAGTCAACAACTTTATACGCATTCTGTACAAACATAGCCATACGTGAAAGCAATGGGAACAAAGCCATATTTTATAAGCATATATCGAGCCGTATACCTAGTAATTACATCATGAAATCAGTTGCATAAAAATGTGCGTATAAGGTCGATAACTGTTCGCTTAAATTGTTTCTAATTGTTGATAATGGCCGATACCGCTAGAAAAGTGGATACTGTGTTACTCCAATATTTATTATTTCAATGGCTACCGATTAAAGAATGGCTTTGTGGCACTCATCCTTCTAGATCAGTCTCTCTAACCATTTTTAACGCTGGACATGTATTCTTCAGCAATTTAATGCTTTCCACAACTTACTTAAATAATTGAGACCAGGAAACCACTCAAATTATAGCGAAGCTGACCGTAATGTGATCTGGCTAAACTCAGGAAAAACGCCGCAATGTGGACAATGAAAAAGTTTTCCATTGTTGACATGTTTGGTTGGAACGATCGTAACCGACTCCAAAATTGAAGTATACGATGGTAAAAAGAGGTTAAGTTTCCTAGGTTTAAACAGTGTTTAGCTGCAGCTGCTGGGGTTGATTGTGTTCGTGTGAGATGATCTATTGAGTAATACGAATTCGGGAAATCTAATGTTTGCTCTTGTGCCTCTCTAAGAACCATTTGAACTACACCAAATAAATAAGAACAGCAAGAAACATTTTTGACAACAAGCTCTTTTGTAGCAGTTTATGAAAAAAACTAAACATTTGAAACTATTTTTTTACTTGTTCGGAAATATTCCCTTTTATGCTTTCCATCGCCTGGCTTCATCATCAAATCTATCATAATTTTGCATTATCATATCAGACGTTCACCTTATTGAGCTTAGAAGGACGTTGCTCATTAAGTCTTTTAAATATTTTAGGATTTACTGTAAAAATGATAATTCGCCATTGTGTGGCGGCTACCATATGGCATTTAGGATAAAGTCACTTCGCTAAATATGTTTCTCTCAACAGGTCCTCTTATTTGATACCCATAACATAGGGGTTACTATAGAAATGATAACTCCGCCAAATTGGATTCAAAATGGCGGCATTCAATTTATTGCGTCATGACAACCAAACGTGAATATACAATTTCAAAACAACTGGTTAAAGTCATCTTGTCCAAAATAAAGCTTCAAGATATACCCCATAAATACTATGAGATATAAGTATATAGATAAATGCTTGAAATATGTATAGCATCCTTAGACAGCGGTAACTTGTAAGTCTTTCGTAACCTGCAAATGAGGTCGGAAGTCTAACACAAGGGACAGTATTGGAGCCAAAACCGATCCTTGGCAGTACAAGTGTTGTTGTTGTCAGATAAAACGGAAAACCCACCATAGAGGGGTATTTTGCATGCCACCTATTTCAAGTACTCCTCCATTTGTGCTATTTTTCAAGCGCGGACTTAAAGTGGAGTGCGAAAGATACCTACGAAAAAGTTCGAAACTGAGATATTATGTTTTTTTGGATGTAGTATGATACGTACATCATTGAAAAACTCGTCACACATTTCCGTTATTCCGTCTGTATGTCGGTCTGTCTGTCAGTTTGTCCGCTAATATTAAAATCGCCTATAATTTGAAAACTACCGTTCGGATTTTGATAAAATTTTCACACTATGCCAAGGATGAAAAGGAGTGGTGGTGGAGTTAGGGGCAAAAGCACGAAAAAAATAAAAAGCGCTTAGACGTTTTTTGACGTTTCAGACGCTCCTGATCATTTTTTTGTGGGGGTTGAAACTTGGAGGTTAGGGGCTGTAAGGGGTATCATTACGAATTTTCTAATCCCAGTAAGGAGGGGCCAATCAAATAATATTACTATTAATGTATTTTAGCAATATTTTGCTACTATCTTAGTACGTACTACTTTAACGTATTGCGATAGTTTTGTAAATGATGACTTAGCTGTTTTTATGTCTACACAGTTTTCTGAATTTTAGGCTTTAAACGTACCACCCATTTCGTCTAATCTTTAATTTGTTTACTACGTCAATGATGGTACTCTGAATATTTCGCCAAGTAGATTGACTCAGTACTTATAACGCATTGATATACAACAGACACGGACTGATTAGCCGACATAAATGAGAAACTCGGACTTGTGTGATTCAGATATCTTTAAGCAACGAAAAACTTGTGAACCGAAGTTCGAATATTATCGCGAGTTTAATACTTACCATCGTTTAGGTAGTCGTAGATTTTTAAAATTGATTCAAGGGCGGCGGAAATAGAATCGCTGGAACACGTTCCAGAGATCCCTACTCATTTGCAGATATTGTTTGGATGAAATTTGTAGGTTGGGAGCTGTATGCGGTAAATGGTTGTAAATGATTGAATATTTGGTGTCAGTGACAGACGTTCTCTTATTAAGAATCTGCTAATTTGCTGGACATAATAAGCCACACATATTTTCCGTGCACCTGCCGTGGTAACAGAAATATGATAGATTTGCTTTATATAGTTTGATATGCAGAGATCGAACATCCTATGGAACCTCCCTAATCCCGATTCGATTTCGCCTTTTGAACCCATTTGACTCGTCCCTTTTCTTTGAAACCTCCAACGAAGGCGTAGGTAATATAGAACCAACCATTTACCCTCAGAAGCGCTGCTGAAGCCTTCCTAAACATGAACTTATATTTTCGAACTTTAGGATATTTATCACTTTTCCTGTATCGTATAAGGCCCATTCGCAGCGCCACTGCTAAATGACCCAGATTTATCTCTACCTTTCATCTCGATCCGCCAACACTTTTAAACACGAATGATTTATAACATAGCAGACATCGAACCTAGTTATTTATCTGAAAGTACTGATCTTCAAGATAGCTTGCATCTCATGCAGATGCTTTGTTCACAGTTTTCACACGATACACTTACTATGCTTTTACTACGGATAGTTCAATATCATCGTTATTTCAGTATCTTTAGAAGAAATTACTTTGTTATTTGCGTATGACACTACTTTGCAAATCGACGTTCAGAGCGCAGTTCAGAAGTTTGTTATAAACTATTAAAATGCGTCATTTAATAAAACTATCTGGACATTTGTTAATTACGAAGCTCCGATGGGTCAAACTATGCTTACCGCCTTTTCGGTCGACGTCGAGCGTCTGCTAAGTATCCTCGCCCCGTCGACGCCACATACCATTAGTTTCTAATCCTTCTGAGAATCCGGCTGCCTCTTATTTGCATATTTAGCTTAGTTTTGTATCATTTTGTACATTGTTCGATATTTGACTCCCCTTGCGAAAATTTGTTAAACCCCTGTGCCTGTGCCTAGAATTACCGGGGCTAGAAGCGTATACATATGCCAGCATCACAAAATTGAGATACACCCTCCTCCAACGGATACAACCCTCCACCGTCCAATTTCACATAACTCAAAGGATGTATCAAAGATGAAATGACAAAACATAAAATTTGAGCGGTTTTTATTTTCTTTTTTTTTGCCCCTACCACCAGCTTTTTCGACCTTGGTACAGTAGAACCTTGCCTGATAGTTTCAAAATCGACCGCTACTCTTATAGACGATACTCCTCAACAGTGGCGTGGAACGTGAAATGTTCCAAGATCACGGGCTTCTTCAACCCGCTTACTGATTTGACCCGTTAAGAAAATAAATACATTATTCGACCAGTTTAGTGAGATAATACTGGATGGAGGACTCCATTGTCTGCCGAATCAAACCACATGTATGTTTTAATGTCTATTTATTGTACGTTACTGCCACCACGATAGCCTTTATTCAGTACAATAGAAATTTCGAATGAACGACGATATTGTCGAATGCCGACTGCGGCGTACGACCATCGATGACGACGCTTGTTCATCGGGAAATAAAGTCGCACGAATCGACACACGACTGTCGCAGATGTTTTAATGGTAAATGTACGACGACATTTATGAGCCCCTTCCCACTTCAGTTGGCCCAACTATTCAAATCTTAGTTTTTTTCTTATCAAACACAAATAATAAAAATGTAGCAGGGTGTTATAGGTTTAAAATATTAGCAATGAATATTTTGATAATATATAGTAAAAAACACCAACTTTATCACTCCCTGATCAAATTTGCAGCATAAAAATAACACATGTTGAAATTACAGCATATCAACCTATTTTCATTTCAATGCAAAATAAGTCTATAACGCATAGGTGGCTGTGAAAAATAAAAGCCAATTGTTTTTATTAATCACAGCTGTCAGAATACGTTTAAAATAGTTTTGCGTAGTTAAGGTTGTCAAAATGGGTAGAGGAAAGGTTATTAGTGAGAAAATTCGGTTAATGATAAAAAAAATTTTAATTCTGGGAAATCAAACTCAGAAATTGCAACTTTGTTAGACTTATCACGGTACGATGCGAGAAATATTGTTAGAAGATATAATGTAACTGGTTCAGTTAATATTAAGACACGATATGTGAAAAAAAGTAATATCACAAATGCCGACCGAAGAGCATTAAGAAGAATAATCGTGAAAAACGGGCGTGAAAATTATTTACAATTAAGTGCTCTGTGGAGTGACGCTGTTGGAAGCAGAATTTCGAGGTCCACAACTCATAGAGAGGCCCACAAACTGGGATTTAGCACTTGCAAGGTGAGTTTACTTATAAAAAAAAGTGAAGTAAAAACCCTAAAGTTGCACAACTTGTTTATAGGCCAAAGAAAAGCCACTATTAACTCCACTGCAAAAGAAAAACCGGCTTAGATGGGCTAAAGAACATAGACAATGGACACCTCAACAATGGTGTGCAATACAATGGAGTGATGAGGCCCGATTCGAAGTTTGTGTTGGTGACAGTCGCAGTAGAGTCATTCGCAAAAAAAATGAAGCATTCAATGTTGACTGTCTGAAGAGAAAAGTGAAATTTCCAGCATCCATTATGGTCTGGGGCAGTATGTCATCAAAAGGAGTAGGAAAACTTCATTTTATTGATGGAAATGTAGATACAAACAAATATTTGGCAATTTTAGAAGAATCGCTTTTACCAGTGATGGAAGAATGTTTGACATCCGGCCATGATTTTGTGTTTCAGCAAAATGGTGCAGCGTGCCATACCTCAAAAAAGGCTACAAAATGAATGGAAGAAAATAATGTACCACTTTTGAAATGGGTTTCTAGCAGTCCAGATCTGTCACCTATTGAAACTTTATGGCACGAGGTGAAAAAGGTTCTACGACAACATCCTGCTCGTACAGTCACCGAACTGAGACAAAAGCTTCAAGAAATATGGGATTGTCTTACACGAAATTTTTGACAAAACTTGGTTAACACTATGCCCCAAAGAATTTCAGCCATAATAAAAGATAAAGGTGATGTTACCCAACGGTAATCTTTCAATTGTTGCTTTGTTAACTTCGCGCATTTATTCGCACATTGTTTGTTTGTTCAAATGTTCTATTAGTTATAGGTCTAAGTGATTTCCAATATGTATTTTTTACGACTAGAGTGTATCTAAAATGTTTTTGAGAAAATAAATTGTTTTAGAAGTAAATAGTTTCGTCATGTTTAATTTATAAAGGCATATTTTGGTACAAATCTTGAAGTGGACCAACTGAAGTGGGAAGGGGCTCGTATAACCAATGTCAAAAAAATGAGATATACTCTCCCGGCAACCCCTAATCCACAATTTTTATACCACTACAATTTTTTTCGTAAAATGAACAGGGTTGTCTAAAGCGAAGTTTTTTCTTGTATGTATTTGTCCTTTTTCTCCGCCAACACTGGGCCAACATAAAAACTACAAAGCTTTTGGCATAGTAGTAACATTCTGTACACATTTCATCGACATCCGAGCGGTACTTCAAGTAATAGGCGGTTATAGGACTAGCGGACAGACCGATAAACAGCCAGACCGACGGAAATGAGTGACATGGTTTTTCGAGATGTCATATAACATCCAAAAATAATATCTGATTTTCGAAAATGATTGCAATCACAATACTTCCTTGCTAATAGGCGTGAGAAGTAAAACAAAAATATTATGTCATATTATCGTTAATTATTATCATTGTACTTGAGAAAGAAACGTCGTTGAATAAAGAGAAATTAAAGCATACAGGGTTTGTCCGGAAAGTAATAGGACTTATTTTCTTCCGCCATGACCGTACTTCGGAGCGTGCGCGCAACGACTGGATTCGGTAGAGGGCGTTCCTAGCTAACGAATGAGCGGCTGATCAGTTGTCTCCGAGCACTTGTAGAGTCAGGACAGGCATTTTCGCGCGACGTGTTTCTGTGAGTGGTGCAAGCCGAAAATGCAGCGTTCGATAGAGCAGAGGTACGCGATTAAATTCTGTGTGAAACTCGGTAAATCTGCGACAGAGACGTTTGATATGATCAAGCAGGCTTACCCAGGTGTTGGTTTAGCAAGAAGTGGTGTGTTTCGGTGGCACCAGGCCTTTTTGGAGGGCCGGGAAGAGGTCGCTGATGAAGACCGTGCTGGAAGACCTTCGACTTCGACAAACACCGATAATGTGACTCGTGTGCGCAAAGTTTTGAACTCAGACCGTCGACTAAGTATTCGTTTAATTGCCCAGATGTTAAATTTACCAAAATCTGGATCCTACAAGATATCGCAGCCGACTGGAAGTTGCACCACGACAACGCCCCGGCTCACACCGCCCTTCTTGTGAATAGCTACCTGACCAAGGCCGGCATCTCAACGCTTCCGCAGCCGCCCTAAGGCCCAGATGTGCCCCCCGGTCTTTTTTTTGTTCCCTCGCCTGAAAAGGCCGATGAAAGGCAAGCATTTTGAGACGACAGAGGGGATCCAAGCAGCATGCACCGCGGCTCTCAAGGCTATTCCGGATAATGCCTTCCGTGACGCCCTTCAATGCTTGGAAATCGCGCTGGCAGCGCTGCATCGACGCAGAAGGAGCCTATTTTGAAGGTTTTTAAAGAATTGTACGATTGGCTCAATATTTTTTTTTAAATCTACTCAGTCCTATTACTTTCCGGACAAACCCTGTATATGTGGTTTGATTCGGCCAGGCGGTAGAGTTCCATGAGCATGAAAATTTAGTGTACTGTGAAAGAACTTTCAACTTCTTACCCTTACCATATATCTGTAGAACCTATATCGTATGAAATACATACAATGTATCACCCATATCTGACCTCTCACACGACTTCACTTTTTGCTGTTTATGGGGCTTTATCGACATCTTACACATTTAGTGAAAGCGATCCTTGTATGCATTCTTTCGTAATTTTGATTTTCTCTACGTAATTTAGTTCTATACAGCTGGAACATCTGTGGCACATGCGGTTTATATCAACGGTTATAGCAGACGCAGATTAATCAGTGAATGATATATAGAATGTTTCTTCATCTAGAATGTATTCGAAAGAAAGTATTCATAACTTAGTAGATTACTACTGAAGATAAATGGACTGTTTGAAATATTGTGTACCACGAGGTGTCCTACATTACGTCAATCGATGAAAATTCGGCAAAATAGGTAGAGTTAAAAGATGATCAAACTATGGTCAAATTTACCAGTGGTAGTTAGAGATTATGATCGGTCCTGGTTCCGACATTGTTTTATTCCTGTACGATCAATCTAATCCACTACTTTGTTGACGTCAGCACTCTACGCGTAGGAATTTAGAGTGACAACCCGGTTTTCTGCCGGTGAGCTGGAGAAAGGAAGACTAGCAGCAAACTCCTCTCTGACGGTAATCACTGCATGGGGACGCAAGCTCCATGATGCTGCCGCCCCATGTTCCTGCCAAGCAAACACGTCTGACTTCGGCCTCCGATCCTATCCTTGTCGAACTTTGTACTTCGAGAACTGGCCGATACGACCGTTCCTTTGTCTCTGGGGTATCGAGATTTGTAGAAAAATCTACCTCATAGCAGCCGCGGTGCCCTGGTATTTAGGCTTCTGCCTACGAGCTGATCCGGTATAAAAAATATGACTCTAGATTGTAGGTCAGTCAAATGAGATCGTTATTTTTTTGTCATTTCAGCACAAAACTCCATTTATAAATTTAATAACCCCGATCCGAGCTCTACCACTGCAGATCTTTGATAATCTCAATAGTGCAAGTTTCCAATTTTAATCTACCTGAGAACAAAAATTTTAGGCGAGATTGCAGTTAAGCTTCAAAGTGTAAGTGTAAAACGTTTATTTTCGGGTTCCCGTTGCCTATAAAATTGAACGAAACTTGAAACATTTCCGTAATATGGGATACGGATTTCGAATATAACCGCCAAAAAAACGAAGCGTCGCCAAACTGGAGTTTGGAAGTTCCAACAAAAATTCTGAGCCATCGTACGACTTATAACCCGGAACCCACCTATGTGAGAATTGTAGGAGCTTTTAGTAAAAACACTGTCTGTTTATTGGAAGGCTTATGGGATTAACACTATAACATTTGCTAATTTCGGTAGTAACTATATATTTGAGAAAATGTTAAACACCCATTTCTTTTCCAGGTCAACCAAAAGAAGATGATGCCATACTCCCACGAGCAACTGGCGACCATAGTGGCACTCCCGACCATAACCACGCTCCTCATGTGGACCATCGCCATCTTCCATAAGAACAGAAAAAAGTGGGGACCATACGACATCCCCATCGTCTCAGTTTTAGTACTATCAGTCATACGCAACATCACAGTACTTGTCTACATTCTTGTTGTCACACTGGGAGACGAACATGTCTTTAGTCTGGAGTCCTGCAGTATCGTCGTTTGGATATTCAATTCTTTGCATACGTTTCAAGCCAGTTCTCTAACCACAATTGCAGTCATAGGATTGTTTTCTGTCAAATTACATCAGAAGCAACAACACCTTAGGATGTTCCTTACTCCTACGCACATAATCTACCATCTGTTTTGTCTTACAACTCTGTGTGCTTGCGTAGGTGTTGCAGCGATCTTGGCCCAATCAGAAACGGAGCCTGTGTTTGAACGACTTTCTTCTGTCTTTGATACAACCCCCTGTAGATTTATGCCATTCAACTTGGATATCAAGTACAACGTGTTCATTCTAGTTCTTCATATGTTTCTTGCTGTGATATCTTTTTCTAGTTTCGCTATAATCTGTTATAATTTTTATAAAATGAAACGGGAAAATTTCGAATATATGAAGAAGTCGAATTCAGATTTGAGTGAGATGAGTTTGGGGTACGGAAATACGTTCAACGGAGATAATAATAAAGGTAAGTTTGATAAGCAGAATCAAGTTCAGTGTTTCCAAAGATCTTTAGACCTTCACACTTTCCCTCTTTTGGTTTCTGACGGAAGCTCAAGAATGCGAACAAAAAACAGGCTCTTTGGCTGATTCGGAAACGCACATCTCGCTACAACACTCAAAGTTGCACTGAATATTGGAAAGACTTAAAAAAGAAAGAAGAAACAAAATACCTGGCCAAACTTCAAGGAGTGATCCCTTGGTGATTTGAAAAAGAAGAACTCTTAATGCTTAAACATTAAAATCATTATTTGGGCGAAAAGAATAAACTAACGCATATTTTTCAACATGCATCTTAGTTCAAGGAACTAGTGTAACACATCGGCAACGCGGTAGAATGCCACGTCAGCGTTGCTAAGCACCGTGGTGATGAGCTTTGCTAGTTGGCCATCTTCTATCTCTTTCTAACATATGGGTTAATAGACGCTTTTCGCGGTTCTCTCTCGTACACATTGAACTCAAGCATCAGACAAATTTTGTTTTCCCAGTATAGAGAAACAGCAAACGGATTCTGTTCTAGCATACGTAAACTGTCACTGAGGCGATCGCTGACAAACTGAAGGGGCGTGAATGTCTTCTCCTGTCAAAAGTATTATCTAATTACTAGAGAGGACTGTAGGTTACATTATACATTATACTAAATTTCGCGCCATTAACACGAGAGAAAATTCTGTAAGATACCATTTGTTCCCATTTCAGGTTACTATGACACCTACACCATAAACCGCAACGGCAACGGAAGTGCCCACGTCACAAACAGCAGTGACCCACGTTACTACGATTCGTCAACGCACCATGTGTCCAACGGAGGGTTCTGCGCCGCCAGGGATATCAACTGGAACTCCGATCTGTCAAATATGTCAACGACTGTCAGCTCGACCAATTCGAGACGGCCCTGTCTTAGTAGGCAGCCTACCGACCACCAGCATCGGCTGATGCAGAGTCAAGACGACAGGACTGGACTGGAGACGATGCATCCTGTGCTGATTGTGTGTTATTTGTTCTACCATCTGCCGCTGATCGTAAGTGAATTGTTGTAAATTCCAAGATGTAGGATAAATGTTAGATTACTACTTAATATCAATTTTTTCCACTCATATCAAAGTCATCAAAATGACGATCCTAGATGACAGAGAGAACCATCAAGAAAGAGCGAGCAGTATGAAGCTTCAAAAACTATTGGTCAAACTTTTTAATGTTACAGTTGACTAAATATAGGCACATCTTCAAGCGAATAGTGATTTAAAGTTGAACACTTCCGCAGCATCATGAATAATTTGAACTGGACGCTTTAACAAACATGATTATAAAAAAAAAACATGGATTGCATTAGATCATAGAGATACCAAAGAGTCACAGTTGAGGATCGTTATTGATGCACTCACAAGAAACCTAACCTAACCTAGATCCGAATTTGTGCTAGAAAATAGGTTATTCGTGGTGCTGGATATGACGTAGAGAATGAATGGACCACCGTTTGTCCTAGCATCAATTGGACCTCGGTTTCTGAATCTAGGGATTTACCCAAGACACCAGATTTAGTCCGGTTCACTGATACGCGGAGTTTATATATTCATCAAGTGTTGCATAAGTACACCAATTATATTTTATATTAGAAAGAATGCGCAGTACGGAAAGCGGTATTCTTCATAATCCTCGGCTCATATATTTTGATATACACGCGACAGATGTTGACCGTATGATATTCACATTCCAAAATAAATTACAGTTGAATGCCAAACATCGAATTTTAATTCGGGCCATTAATTCGATACTTTATTACTTTTATTAGAACCCATTTGAAATTGGTCCATTCCTTCATTAGACGAGACTACTACATGGTTGACAGGAAAATCTTTCTATTCATTTTTACCAGAATGTCCAAGCGTTTTTCTTACTTTTGTTCAAAGGCAATCTTGAGTCGTACCTAGAAACGCTGAATTTTTTTAGGAATTTTGGTGCTTAAAATGAGTTCCCTACGTTCTTCCTAAAGAAATCTTGCCATCTATGCCAAAAGAGATTTTCCCAAAATTGTTCATTATATTTCTTTAACTTTCATAATTTCAAGTTCAACTTCGGAAAACCTGTGAAAAAATCCAATGTGGCGTTCACAAAAAAAATAGAGTTGATGATTGAGGACAAGAGACAAGACGTCATATCAAAATTCTAATTGTGCCTCCTTGTAAAGGAGAAGAAGTGTCAAAAAGGCGACCTTGGAAAACTTCGTCTATCTCAGTACTCTAAATTGCGAAACTTTTAAGTGCCATTTCCTTAGCTACCTAAATGCCCAACTTTGCCCCTTATTAACCAAATTCGTATCTTTTACCGTTTCCGAGATGCCAATGATGACAGTCAAATTTGAAGCACCCGGTATGTACTTATGTATATTGTTCAGTCAAACCATACTATATCAAACCTACTTTTCTCTGCTTCTCGATATGATACCTATTCATGGTCGATTTCCTTTTCATAACAGATTACAAAGGAGAGCTGCAAATTATTGTACCGACTCATCCTGTTATAATTAGATCTGCTTCCAAACAACAAAGTGTGGCCGCTTTCAAGATGTTGAACAAACTGTAAAAGGTGATTGCATAACAACACGATGTTTGTACCAATTAGATGTTCAGAAGGAATTATTAAAAGCATCATAGTAACGTAATAACAAAGTTATTCTGGAGATTCAGAGAACCTTGTTTATGAAATGTAGTAGAAACAAAGCGAACATGACAACTCGCTGCGAAGTAAAAATAAATAAAAATCCTGAATATTGAATCCTGAAATTTGAAACAACTAGGTACATTCTACTTTATTCTGATGAACTTGTGAGAATGAGTTAATTAACATAAGGTCCAGCGGTTTCGATAGGGAAGATGCAAAAATAGTACTTATGAGGAGCATGTAAATGAAATGCTAAAAAACGTAGAAAGATAGTAAACGCGATAGTTTCATTTTATCTAGCGTCGATTTTGATCGATATTCTGGAATTAAAAGCAGTAAAAATTACTCAAGATGTTTAGTCATAAAATCCTCCTGCTTATTACACGATATCTGATCGGATGGTAGCATTATTTGCTAGTATAGGCGCCCGCGTCATTAAGAACACAACATTTCTTTTAGTATTTTTTATACCTAGTGCACTTGTTGTTCAACCGTATTATATCGATAGAGTCATTTCATTCTTCAGACTGCATTCTAGCATTGACTCTTTCTCTTTCAGGCTTGAAATATTGCATCTTAGGTTAGGTTAGGTTAGGTTTCGTGAGTGCATCAATAACGATCCTCCACTGCGACTATTTGGTATATTGTGGCTCACACCTATTTATATTTCTCCCAGTAGTTCCGACATCTGCACAATACATGCCTGATCGTTTCATCTCCCTCCATGCACAGTCTGCACTCAGCGTCCTCTGCCATGCCCAGCCTGCTCATGTGGTGACGCAATTTGCAATGACCAGTGTACAGTCCTACTAGAGCTTTAAGGCTATTCCTGTACAGCCGTAGCAAAGTGACTGTTACCTTCTTTGTCAAGATTGGTACAGTTGCCTTAGCATGGGTTAACCCTGCTAATCCCTACCAGCATTGATGGATCTTTCTGACCATCTCTGCAGAGATTATTTGTTTAGCCGTATTGTATGCGATCCCAGTCGCTGGCTCAGGCCTTATGAAGGGTGTGCTAGCCCCACTCTTTGCCAGAGTGTCAGTTGTCTCGTTTCCCTCTAGACCTGTGTGTCTTGGTATCCAAACGAGACGGACTTCATTTCCCTCCCCTATGCCACAAAGTTCTATAGCATATAGCTCTGCCTGGAAGATCGATGCCCAGGTTTCTAGGCTAACAGATTTTTTGATCTTTAGCTTTGGCACAAAGATACCAGCTCCAACATCTACCTCGGTCTTGGAGCCATCTGTGTATGCACAGATATCTTAGTACGGATGACTCTTAGACCATAAAAGTATGCGAAAATTTTTAAAGTTCAAACGTCCAAATTCTCGGGCATGCAACCTAACGCAAAATGAAGTCAGGACAGGAAGAACGTCATTCTTTGTTCAAGTCAAGCTTTTGAAAGTGTTTATTTTTTCCTCCAGAACATTGTTCAAAGAATTGTGTTGAATCTCTATCAAAATCATTACAATATAAATGAAAGAACTACTTACAACGTTAATTCCTCTTTCAGGACAAGCTGTAAAATGCAGGAAAACCATTACCGTACAATATAAAAAATGCGCCGGTGACAAAATAACACATTGATCAATATGAACACAACAAGGTTGAAGAATCATAAAATTATGTAATATCTATAATATGAATTTGTGGAATTTTAACCAAACAACATGGCGGCTCCTAACTGACGCTATTTCGGTGTAGAAACCAATAATTTAATGCTTCAAGAATCGAAGCGAAAACTTCAAGCCGCACAAGTTCGCATTGGGTAACTTGAAAAGTGACATTTGTCGTTTTCTTGACATAAGGTCGTTTTTTATATTATATAGGTTTTTATGATATTAGGTAGGTTTTCCTACAAGGCGTCAACTTGGAACTAGCTATCGTTCACTTCATGCTCACACTCACATTTTATTGTTTTTTTTTTTGATAGTATATAGGTTTTTGACCAACCGCGGGGTCCAGATTCTTGAATATTTTTATATGTACACTATTGGGCAAAACCGCCGTCATTCGCAAGTCCGATTTTAAATAAAAAAAAAATGAAAGATTATTGTCGAAATAAAAAACTGATTGAGAGTGTAAATATGATATATGTATATTCGAGCCACTTTATTTGAAGAAAGAAAGACAATACCTAGCTAAGAAGACCAAGTGGTTGACTCAGCTAAACACATAAAGGAAGCACCTCACATTTTATTGTTATCAACGTATAGAGCAACGTGTTCACAAAGGAGTAATTTTAAAAAGAAAAGAATGTTGTAGGTGACGAAAACAGAGAAAACACTTAATTTGAACTGAAAAAGAAAACCTAACTCATGAGACCAATGGGTTCACTCAGTCCAGCTAAACAAACATCCATAAGAATCTGTCACGTGCCCTAATCACGTAACGTTTTTTTTACTATTTATCACTTATCCGTAATTTGAATTTCTCTTCATTGATAATAACATAGAGTGCCCATTCCTAGGCCAAACCCTTTTCAATGATTTTCTTTTGGCAAATTTAATGGTTTATTGATTGTATAATTTCACTCGTATTATATCTTTCTTTCTCTGCGATTCAGTATGGTGTTGACGATCAGCAAAAAACTCTGTAGGTTTTCTCCGTTAGTTGGTTTCCTATAAAACATTCCTTGTTCAAGGCCACTCAAGATACCTTCTTCTAGAACGTTACGGGTTTTGCGTGTTTCGCTTTTCTGTTTCCGTTGAGGTCATGGTGCAGGGGTCGTTCGGGATATTAGGTCCCAAGCGCCAATTCATGGACTAGCACCTTTTTTTTGTGTAACTTAAGTTTAGTCATTTTGGTTTGAGAGCTACGTCTTCCATTTTTTTATGGGATTTTGACCCTCAGCGGTAAATTCTTTTTTATATACCTTCGGACCACGTGCCTTAATACGTGTCCTGATGACGTTCGGTCAATATCTGCTTTCTTTTAGTCAATAGAAACAGAAGAGAATCATCACCCTTTCTCCTCCAGTTGGTTGCATCTTGTTGCAGTTTTTCAAATTGGTGGAAGCCATCCCCTTGAAAAAAAAACCTGATGTGAACAGGTAAAATATTATTCTAATTAACAATTTCACAGATCTTTATACATTTATTATTGCTTATTGAAATTCTTAGAGACTTCTTGATTTTATTGGACATTCTACGTATTCAATTATGGGGGGCAGTGCCTACATCGCACCTTCTATTACATTGATCATGATTTTGATTTTTTAGCTGCCATAACTTTTTAGAACAAGGGTATATTAGTTTAGGACATCTTTATCTTTTTTTGCGTTTGCTTTACTTTTCTTGTACAAAAAAATGAACATGGTTTTGCTTCAAGTGCGGTTGTTTTCAATGGGTAGTTTTATCCCAGACAGAGAGTAGAGTAGATTTTTAAAC